GCAGCAGTAGCAGCTTGTTTTGTTTCACAACTCGCAGAGTTAACTGATAAATCAAACTCCTACTTGTCAAGCTCAGAACAATAGACCCAGCATTCAAGGGGAACAGGCAGTTAGATTTTTCACAACGTTTATTAAAGACTGAACAGCAGCAAACAGCATAGGCATCTAAGGCAGGAACCTCTGAATGAAGAGACCACAGTTTAGTGACCACATATATCTCTCAGAGGATGATAATGGATGTGTCAGTCACTAACCTCGTCTTATAGTTCAGTCCGCACCGGAGGGCTGCCAACAAGATGCGGTGGGTGCTGCCCAGAGAGTCCCAGGCGCTGGTGTCTCAGAGGTTAGAGGACAGACAGGAGATCAGAACTGGGCAGATGAAGGAAGGCTGGATAATCCAGAGGGCTAAGCCAAGGCCGGTGTCGAAAACGGGCCCATGAGTCAGAGCCAGGAGATCAGAGGTCCGAAGGGAAATCCAGAATGGAGTCGGGAAACATTTCCGGGTTCAGTTCGCAGACAGGCAGAAATCCGGCAGGAGTCCAAAGACAGGTCAGGCGAACAGATCGGAATGGGAACAGGCAGGCTCAGAGGTCCAGAGGCAGAACTGGTGAAATTCAGGGAATCGGAAAACACAGGTACGTAGACAACTCTCACCACAGGCTTAAAATAATCTGGTACTGATGGCTTGTTTAAAGGCTGGTTAAATAGAGGCTGAAGCAGATGGATCAGATCAGCGGTAATGAGAACTGGGCGGAGATAGACAGGTGAATGAAATGAGTAATCAGAGCAGTATCAGCTCCAACTACATGACACTTACCATATCCTGTTAGGAAGAATTCACAAACATCTACCCATCAAGAAAGGCAAAAAATTGCATTTTTTGTTAGCAATAGAGGGGTTTCCAGCTAAAACTGGTGAAGACATGTTTGTTTTTCTTCAGTCTTCGTTGAGGTCATACGTGTCACGGCATTTCACTGATCCAAAACGCATGTGAATGGAGGTTGACTTTTCTGCTGGCTCTGGCAGGATGTATTTTCGGGAGTTTGGGAATTCACAAATCTCGCTACAATTAATCTTGGTTGCAAGGTAAGATATGAGAATACCTTGGGTAAAAATGTCATGATTTTTTAAAGTGTTTTAACAAAAGACAAGAGAAAAGTATCCGATTTTCAGTATAGGTAGAAGATATTGAAACGTTGGGGGAAAAAAGCCTTCCCAACGTATGATGCCTTTAGCACCAAGTTTTGTTATGGAAATATGTTCAGGGCAATGTGCAGTATTAGTTTTTAGCCCCAAATAGCATACTGTTTCAAAAATGTCCCATTTATGGTCAGATCTAGATCCTTTATTTATTGTTTCAATTTTGATCTTTAAGCCTGCAGTAGGCAAATATCTTTAATGTGGCTATTAAACCAAACTTTAGTTAGTCAGGCTATGCTTATCTCCTGCGGTACAAGTAACTGTGTCATGGAAACACTGTTTTCAGACCGTCTTTAGTTGCCACAGCCTCAATCAGCTAACTGGCATTTCTGATGGCCTGCTTTGATTTATTCTTAGGTGTGGAAAAAAGTGCTATAATGTTCTGACAACACGTCTTCTGGATTAATAATTTGGTTTTAACCCTATATGTCTAAACAATAAACTGACATCTTTTTCTTGTGGATGATATTTTATTCCAGAGCAATTTGCTATAGTGCTAGGCTAACATTAGCATGCTTCTTTAATGCGACTCTTTGATAATACGGCCTCTTAACATATTTCAGCTCAGTTTCTTTATCAGTATCTGGCTAAAAGGTGAGAAACCCTTCAGTTAAGAAGAATCTGCATTTGTTATATGAGCAGAAATATGCATGGCCATTATTTTTGACAAAATTGGCTGTTCCAACATACCCACGTGGGTTGCTGCTGACAGTCACAGACGGTACATCAGCAGCAGGTATCTGCATACGAGTTTTTTCAGGGAGATTTAAAAAATCGTGACACCAAGTTGATACCTGGTATCAGAACGAGACATGCCTTGTTTTGATGTAGTGTGCCTAACAAAGGCAGTTGACTGATTTGGGAGAAGTGCATCTTGTAGATCAGATTCATTGCAGTCTGTTTGGCGTTTTAGGATTATTCTCAAAAGCACAAGTGGGGCTCAGCAGGAGATTAGTATTAAACCGGATCTAATTGGCAGTCGGACACATTGAAAGGCAGGGTGACACATTGCAATACCTTCAGCCATGCCAGTCATCATGACTAACAGCCGTACTGTCCGCTCTTCCTCTAAATCTACACGTTTCAGCACATGCAGAGAAAAGTCACAAGATTCAAGTCAGTCCCTCATGACTCGCTTGATGTGTTTTTCTTCCCTTCCCTGTGAGTGTGTGGATGTGCAGTTTGTTGAGGAGGGTAAACACAGAAACGGTGTCAGTTTTCAGTTTTTGCCCTCTTTTCCTGTCTTCAGCTTGCCTGTTTCCTGCTCTACTCTCTGCTGTTTTGTCCCATCTGTTTTCTCTTACTGTACTGCCTGACTGTCCTTTCCGTGCCTGTATCTGTGTTTGTGTGCAAAATAACCTCATGCTGTTTAAAGCTTGTGTCTCTGGTGGCAAGTCAGAGACCCGCATAAAAGACAAAAAATGTATCTGCGAGTGTGTGAGTGTGTCAGGAGGAGAAGAACAGGGTTATCTGTCTAGAACTGTGGTGGAACAACTACCTGCTGACTATAGTGTATTTTGACATCTTTGTCTGCACAGCGCAAACCTGGACCACACATACACAAACACTCCTTGCTTCAGGCTATCTTTCAAGGTCTCAGTGTCACAAAGTAATGAGATTATTCTCATGTGCAAAGGTTGTGCACATACACACTTCATGCACGCATATTCAGCTATCTATGAGGTCTGAAACACATGAGGCCTTAAGCATGAGGAGTGAAGGCACAGGAAGCATTAATATACAATGGGAGCTGGCCTTCAAGGAATGATTGTTTTCATAATTGAAAATCTTTTTTAACGAATCACTGCATCCATAGGAGTGTGTGGGGGGGTCAATATTTTTATGTGGAGGGACAAATGTTTAAAGATGCTCTAAGTCCTTTTGAGGGATGTTGTTGGCCTTCTTTCTCCACTCTTTTGCATGATGCTCTTCTGCAGTCATACAGCACTTATCCCCCTGAGACCTGTCCTACTTAGCATGTCCTTCACCCTATCTGTGGTGGAGACTTCCCGACTTGAACATGAAGAAGAAGAATCCATGTTTGTTGTTTTTTAATGTTTTACAGGAAAAGAGTGTTAAATGCATATTTTCCAATAATGCATATTTTCCAATTGGGCATTAATGGTCCTCATTGATTTGTTTTGTCAAATGCTTTGTCTTGATCCGTTTCTCATTTGGTTTCATCAGCGTCACAGATTTCGTTATTAGTTTTTTATTTGATAAACTAGCTCAGTATTCACTGTAATTGTGAAGTGATGTGGGGGGTTTTATGTTAATATTTATACATAATATTCTTGTGTGCAATTGTATTAAGCTCCCTTAAATCATAACTTATTTTTGCCTTTGCTTTGCAAAACATCTCAGTCGATTGGATTAAGAGTATCAGTAAGCAGCATCTTTTTAACTCGTCAAAATGTTTTAATAGGATTTAGGTCTAAACTTTGAGTTGGCCATTCGGACATAGAAACATGCTTTGGTCTTTCGGCATCTAAATGTTTTCCTTAAGAACAATTTTCCAGCATGTTGTAGATGTCTATGTTGCAGCACACCTGATTCTAATGGTTGCTGCAGAAGCCTGTTAATCTTTTTATATCATTCAGGTTTGTGGCAGTGAGGAGAAATCGGAACGGATTGAGAAAAAACTGCCTTACAGGATTGTCCCGTGTTTAACCTCTTAACATCCACCTCATTGTGGGTAATCCTCACCTATTTTACATACCCAAATGGAAAAGCAAATAACTTAGGAACTGTAAGTCTAAATTACATGTGCAATACATTATTTGAAAGCTAACACTCTCTAGTTTAATTAAAATTGGATGACTAGAACACAGACCAACCTGCATCAGTTCAAACATGACTCAAAGTTGGGGGTTTTTAGTCTTGGTAATGATAGGTCTTTTTTGAACAGCAGTAATAAGGACATTATTGAGAAGAAGCATGTTTTATATTTGTTCTACCTCATGTCAACCAGAAATGCAGAAAATTTCAGTCTTCTAGCTGTAACAGTTCCAGAGCTGTGGGGCTTTGAACTTTTGGTGTCAGCCTGCTGGTAAAAATTTTACCGGTGGAAATGTATGCATTCTGAGTTATTACCCCCACTTAAGGTCCACCGGGTCGGCGGCGACCCGGTGAGTTTTAAGAGGCTAAATCCATCTACAGTCCCATCAACTTTAACCAACTTTCCTATCTCTGTTGAAGAAAGGCATCTCCCACAGCATAATGCTGCCATTAATATGCTTCATGGTAGAAATTGTGTTTTCCTTTTGGAAAGGGTTGTCAAAAATATCAGTACTTAGAAAGTATCTATCCACAAAAAAAGCATCTGGATAGTAAACTATTTTAGCATGGAATCTATAGTGTAAATATTGTCAACCGTTTGGGGATATTTGTTTATTAGGTTAATTAACTTATTTAACTAGCATCTCTTTTTTTCCCATTTTCTTCAGTAATGCGCTCTAACAAACCCCAGAGGCTTTTGAATTTTATTTAAAAGCCTCCACATAAGTTTAAGGTGTATGCAAAACTTTTGCTAAGATGTTGCGTTTAAAATCCACAGTAGGTCCTATAATTAAAAAAGCTTTAACAAGGAAGGAGTTTTCTGTCACTTTTAAACTGACTTCATGAACAGTTTATCAGCTTGTCCTGTTACGCCTCGCCTATTTGCGTTATAGTCTCTGGTTTGACCGTTCCCTCTCTGTTCTGCAGCTTTTCTCACTCACATCAGATTCCTCTTGTCATCAAAGTCAGGTCTGTCTGTTCCACACTTACAGCTGCCCGTCCTCTCTCTTTTCCTCCCCCAGACTAGTGCTGTCGTCTGTTTCTGACTACTTTGCGGCCATGTTCACCAGCGATGTACGTGAGGCCAAACAGGACGAGGTGAAGATGGAGGGAGTGGACCCTGAGGCGCTGTGGGTCCTGGTTCAGTACGCATACACAGGTGCACTCTAGAATGCCTTTTGTCATCACAAAAAGGACTTTATCAAAAAATGTTTCTGCTCTCAGTCACAGTTATTTAATTAATAAATGTGTTTAATAGGTCGCCTGGAGCTGAAGGAGGACACCATCGAGTCTTTGTTGTCGGCCTCCTGCCTGCTGCAGCTGTCGTCGGTGGTTGAAGCTTGCTGCTCCTTTCTAGTGAAGCAGCTCCACCCCTCTAACTGTCTCGGCATCCGTTCCTACGCCGACGCCCAGGGCTGCCATGACCTGCAGAGGGCCGCTGACTATTACACCATGGTGAGTCGCTCTCCACATTCTGTCTGTGAACGATCAGACTGCCTGGACAGAGAATCTACTCTCAGAAAGACAAAGGATGACCTTAAATGACAACGCACGCTGGGCCTCTTATACCTGTGTACCCTTCCTTAGAGATATTATGGTCTGTTCTTATTCCTGATAACAAATTAGCTTCTTATTCACAACCCATCAAACCATTATTTCCACAAAAGATGTTTTTTCAGCTCATAGTTTCCATGGTTACTGAGGAAAAAATTCACCTTCCCCATCATGATTATCCTTTTTCTTCTCTTTAAGTTATTTCCTCTTAGAATTTAATGACAGCCTGTTTGTAAGTGTGTGTGTGTTGGCTCAGAGGGATGTTGGGTTTTATTGTAACACACATACGGAACCAGTTTGTAGACTTCCCAATACAAAGGCTCTGCTATCTTTTACTACAGCGTAGAGCTGCAACATGTCAGTCCAGCCGTCTATATCTGTTTCTTCTTCTGTCAGCCTTCAGTATTTCATCCTTGACTGCCTTCATCCACCAGGAGCACTTTCTGGAGGTAGTGGGAGGCCAGGAGTTCCTTGTACTCCCCGTAGAGGAGATGGAAAGGCTGCTGACATCTGATGACATCCAAGTGCCAGATGAGGAAACCGTGGTGACCTCTCTGCTGAGCTGGGTCAGTCATGATCCTGCCACTCGGCAGCGCCACCTACCATCCCTGCTGGCTCACATCAGACTACCTCTGCTACAACCACAGGTTAGAGCCACAGAGAAATCCTCCTCACTAGGGAAAAAAATAATTGAACTTTTATCACAATCATTACTTGGTCCATTTTCTTTGCTTTTAAATTTTTAGTGACTACACCAAGATCTCCAGAGTGATTACAGGCAGGAATGACTGCCTTTACATCACAGGGCAGGGCTAAAAATTATCATCGGCAACATTAATGTGGCAGATTTTGGTTGATAGATTCCGGTTTACATGATCTCAAATATATTATTTGAGTTTTTTTTACAAGGGAATTAATTCATTGGATAGTATCACATGTTTTAAATATTAAAATAAAAGACAGTAGTTGTTGGCTTTACTTCTGACCTGCAGGTTGTTTTCTGTGGCCAGATTAGTTTCATTATTCCTCCTTTTCATTATGTCCTCTTCTGTTATAGACACCCTCACCCTCAATCTGTCTCACTAACCTCTTTAGGCAATTAGAGGGATAATAACAATCATGTCTGCCATAGATTTCCGCTGTTTGTTTGTCCAGTGAGTGGAATGTGTTTAGTTTTAGAGTGTTTACATGCCCTTGCCCTGTATTTGTCATTTAGCAGCGACCGATGCTTGAAATTTTCACCATAATTTTGTCTATTACTTGAGGCTGTAGCTGTTTTAATTTCCCCACTAATTAATCTACATTCTGAGTTAATCCTTGCATAACTACTGAACCAAGAATATTTTCTCTTCTTGGCCTGTTCCTTACAAACCTTTATGTATATCACTGTGAAAAATGACTTAAGTCCGTACTTGGATACAATTATAGCCGCTGTTCTTTGGGGTTTCCAAACATCTTTGTACATTTAGAGATTCTTCTTCAAAGAATGTCTGTAATGAGATATAAGTCTCTCCTAAATGTGTTTTAATATTGACTGGGCCATTCGCTTTGATCTAACCTGTTCTCTTATACCTCTGTGAATGTTTAAGATCATCGTCCCAACTACAAAAAGCGAACCTTAGAACAGGTTTCCCTCTAGGGATCCTTTGTTTCTGGCTGCACCTTTTTTTTTAACCATCAGCTAAGACTAAATCCCCTGTCCCTGCTGAGGAAAGGCAACCTCACATCATGATGCAGCTCCATGTTTCTCAGTGGGATGACGCAGTCTGTTTGCAAAGCTTGGATATTATGTAGCATTGAGAGGTCTACAAATAGATGCCTCACTCATTCTTAATTTTTTATTGTTTAAATGTAAAACAAAATGCATTTTTTTCCTTCTAATAAGCAGTTTTGCACATTCATATATTGATCTGTGCATTAAACCATGAAATCCTGATGATATACATTAAAGCTTCTGATTTTAATGTAAAAAAAAAAAAGCGTGAAAGATCAGTGGGAGCAGGAAGCTGCTGAGACAAAGCTTACCTTTAACACCATGTAGTTTTTTCATCACAGCTACCTGTTTTTATATTTAGGGGTGTTTTTCTTATCTGTAAAGTATACTGAAGGAGCTTTCCCACATCCGACCCACCCCTGATGCACAGCTAAACCCACAAGTAGCTGTAGCACGTTATCAAGCGAGAAGATTGATGGCAAAGGGCTAAAGTGGTAAATTGGTCCTGGAGCAAAAAAGCCGACAGAAGGAGAGACAGAGAGACAGAGCTTCAGGCTCGTTCTGCCTTCTGCGCTTCATCATTTCGAACAGCCCCTCCCTTTCCCAAAACCATTTCAAACCAATAAGCGCATTAACATTCAGTGAACCCATGAGCTGTGAAATGCCAATAACATTACATAGAAAGTCATGCAGGCTACCTGATCAATACCTATCAAGCGATTAGTCGGCTCTCTATCTGAGCTAGCACTTGATTACTCGCCCAGATGGCGTCAGTTCCTCGGATTAATACCCCTGATCCCTGCTCCCCATTACCCCTGTCACATAAATGCAGATACTCACTCTTGATCTAATCTTTTCAGGCAACCATCTGTATCATGGAGCACCAAGCTGTTGTATGACAGTTGGTGTGATTTTTGTTATGGGGCTGAAATGACTGTGGAAGCAGAGAGGCTGGTTAAAAAATCTGCTATGAAAAGAAGCTTTCATATTTGGGCAAGGCATTGCAGATTTACAGCATCCTTCAAACTCTTTGTTACTACCGGTTTAGTAGCCAATGTAGAAATCAAATAATCAATTAACACCTGGAGTATGCGCTCTAAAAGACGCCATGTGCTGAAAGAAAAACACTGAGAGCATTAATTAAGACAAAGCAGTACAAAATATGTTTGTTTACATTTAAAATAAAAATGTTAATTTTCAGTAAACATGTTCTATTCGGGTCTCGTAGGTTTGGCTTCACCGAGGTCAATATCTGTAAAAGATTTTCTATTAACCATTGTCATTAAGTTAAGAATAAATTCAACACATTAATCAATTAGCAACATAAATCATTTGTTCCAATACTAAAACATCTCTCTTTTGGCCTAACTCTTCTGCTGTCTGCTCTTCCTATTAAATAAATGGTGTCATTTGGTACACTGTTGCAAAAAATAAAAGGAACACAATATAACTTCAAATAAATCAAATTTCTCTAAAATAAAATTGTCCACTTAGGTAGCAGCGGTTATTGACAATAGATTTCACATGCTGTTGTGCAAATGGAATAGAAAACAGGTGGAAATTACTGGCAATTAGCAAGACACACTCACTAAAGGAGTGGTTCTGTAGGTGGGGACAACAGATCACTTCTTAGTACCTATGCTTTCTAGCTGATGTGAAGCATTAGACGGACTCTATTATCCACAAAAGTGGCTCAGGTAGTGAAGCTCATCCAGGATGGCACATCAATGTGAGCTGTGGCAAGAAGGTTTGCTGTTTCTGTCAGTGTATGTTCAGAGGCTGGAGAGACAAGGGGACAGTCCAGTACACTGAGAGATGTGGAGGGGGCTGTTGGAGGGCAACAACCCAGCAGCAAGACTGCTACCCCTGCCTATGCACAAGGAGGAATAGAGCCCTGCAAAATGACCTACAGCAGGCCACAAATGTGCATGTGTCTGCACAAACGGTTAGAAACCGGCTCCATGAGGATGGTATGAGGGCCCGAAGTCCACAGATGGAGTTTGTGCTAACAGCCCAACACCATGCAGGACACTTGGCATTTGTCATCTGCTCTTCACAGATGAAAGCAGGTTCACACTGAGCATGTTTGACAGACATGACAGAGTCTGAAGACACTGTGGAAAGCGGTGTACTGCCCTTTATTATCCTTCAACATGTGCGGTTTGGCAGTGGGTCAGTAATGATGTAGGGTGGCTTTTCTTTGGAGAGCCACACAGCCCTCCATGTGCTCGCCAGAGGTAGCATGACTGCAAATAAGGTACCAAAATAAGATCCTCAGACCCCTTGTGAAACCATAGGCTGGTGTGGTTGGCCCTGGGTTCCTCCTAATGAAGGATAATGCTAGACCTCATGTGGCTGGAGTGTGTCAGCAGGTTCCTGCAGGATGAAGGCATTGAAGCTATGGAGGCCTGAATCTTATTGAGCAGATCTGGGACATGTCTTAATCAATCCACCAACGTCACGTTGCACAGACTGTTTGGGAGTTGTCGGATGCTTTAGTCCAGAACTAGGAGGAGATCCCTCAGGAGACCATCCACCTCAGGAGCTTCCCCAGGCGTTGAGGCCATACAGGCACATGGAAGCTACCCACAATGCTTTATTGATTTTTGTGCGTGCGATTTTGTTGTCAGAACATTCAACTTTGTACAAAACAAAGTATTCAATAAGAATATTTCATTTATTCATATCTAGGATGGGTTATTTTAGTGTTCCATTTATTTAGCTGAGCAAAGTATATACGTTTAGGGGAACTGGGTCAATTTGTCCCTTGTAGCACAAACAAGCCAACATACTGACCTTTAATAATGTGCTTTTGTTGCAGTGTTTGTAACAAAAAGCTAAACATTTGTCTTATTTGACTGAGGCACATGGTTTCAGGTCAAATTATCGGTTTTAGCAAACTTACCTACATTTGTAGTCCACAGTTGTCATTTGAACAGCAGCGTACGGCTATTATGGAAGCTTGTTAACCCAAATGATTTAGCAGTCCTGTTTGAGTAGCACAGTCTCTAATGTGTCACAATATAATCATGACATAGAGTAAAAACTTTAATCAACATAAAAAATTCTATAAAAATGTAAAAATGATTCAGTTATATCTATTTCATGAGAGCTGTTGGGTGTGGCCTCCAGCTGAATCAATTGGAATTTCATTGTTTTGTTGATGAAGGAAAGCGCTCGTTTTTTGCATTGAAACGCACTTAAGTCAACATTTTTCAAAAATTTTAATATTTAATTAAATTTGTTGTTATATTTAAAAATGAAATTGACTGGTATCAACTAATTAGAGTGCGCAATTTTAGAAAATTTTGTGCTGGTGGTATTAGCTTTAATATACGCCTCTTTTTTTCCTTTTTCCCTCTTTCTCACATTTATCTCCCTTTGGCATTTTGATAAATGTTTTCTATGTTCGGTGTGGGCTTCTGCTGCCGTGACTCTCCAACTGGTTTGATAAGATATTAGCCTGAAGAATGCAGGTTCATAACACTTCTTATATATGATTGTGCTCCAAGTTATCCTCTGCAGTATGAATATTGCGAACGCATATATTGCACTGCTGATGTGTTTTCGATTGCTTATTGTTCAGGCATAACATAGGCCTCAGCTCTTAAATCTGGGAAATCCTGAAACAGCTTGATAATACTAAACCCTGGTGTCGATATTAGATTCTTAATTTTAAAAAGGCTGTTTACCCGCCTTCATACAACGCTGACCTGTCCAGCTTTTGATAACAAAGCCTTAGGAGGATTTGATTTTGGCTGTTCTTGTATGAAGAATCCCTGTGGAAAAAGATTGGAGACTCCTAAAGGATGAGACACATACAGCTGAGGGATATGTGTTTTTTTTTTTTTTGTTTTTTTTTTGGGCATTAGTGCTGTGGTGCATTGAGTGGATGGCGCCCAGCTCTATCTCCTCTACGCGTGAGCCGAGACGGGGGATAATGCAGCTTTCACATCCGCACATTTTGAGGTGGAGAGACGCTGTGGAGGAGGTGGGTTGCCTGCGGGATTCATTCTTATCTCGCTCTCCACGTTCAATCCTCCACAGCATGATGGATAAATGACCAGAGAGAAGGACAAACATGTGATTTCTGTATCTGTCCTTCTGAGTCACCCACACACACACACACACACACACACAGATGGATGAGTAAAAAGGGCTGACTGTAATTTGTCGCTCTGTGATTGTGCGCAGCTGAAGCATGGTTTGACCCTGGCGTGTAAGCTGCTTATCCATTTACCATGCTTGTTTTGCGCCTCTACACTTCTAGCTGTGAAATTAAATTTCCCATTCAGTGACCAAGTTTATTTACGTGGGGCGAGCCCTTTTTTTGTGTGTACTTAGATGTGAAGGAGAACATCAAACTGTGAGAGGAATCTTGATCAGAAACAGGTGCATGGGAAAAGTCTTCATGCCCCGTGGATTTTTTATTTTTTTTATGGATTTCATTAAGCTACCAAGAAATGGCAGTCCGTGACTCACGGATCTACTGGCCACAAATCAGTCTTTTGTGAAAGAATGTTAAGAGCAATTTTTTTTTAAAAATGACTAAAGACTCCTCTTTAAAATTTGCCACAAAGCAGAAGCTGCTTTGATCAGATCATGACTGCACGCTAGCAAAGCAATTTATTAATTTAGCTGTTGCGTAATTTTACCAGCAGATTATGAATATATTAGATTACTATAACTTGGAGTTATAATTAATAATAGGTCATTCAACTCAAGGGGAAAAACAATAAATGATCATTAGTTAAGGATAACTGGTATCTATTTACACACCAAGGCTCTTTAGTTTTCTACCTAAAGTTGAACTTCTGCACCGGCTGTTAAAATCCAGTTTTCTTTTACTAATTTAGTAATTTTGACTATGGTTATAATTAGTGTTGCACTGATACCAATATCTGGCTGGGCCCCGATCCAGCCTAAAATGGTGGTATTGGCATCGGCAAGTAAAAGGTAGGCAAAGCCATGATGGCAATTATTTTACATCCAAGTAGTAAGCAGTTCTTCGTATATACACACACACACATCAATTTCAAACAGATGGTATCGGTATCAGCCGATACTGCACAGCCAGGTATTGGGTATCTGTATCGCGGCCAAAAAATGGCATCGGTGCAACACTAGTTATAACTAGTTATAACTAATCACCAACCAAATGAAATTGTCTCTGTTTCTTCAAGTTTTACCCAAAAAGGTTGAATCTGGCTCTGAGTGATAAATTGTTCTCAGCATAAATAATCACAGAAAATCACAGTTAAAATATCTTTATTGTAATACCTATTACATTATTGGTGTATCTTATAGCTATGCAAACACTACACACCACTGAAAATAAGCGCAAGATAAATGGAAGGCTTAGAAAAAGGGGTCTAAGAGTCCATTCAGAGTAGGGCTATAGCAATACACGAATCTCGTGATACGATACGATATTCAGCTCACAATATGATGTCACGATATTTGTAGATGATATGATTTAATTCGATATAATCCGAAACACTTACAGTACATAATTTCTGACAGATTTGAAAGGGACCGAGTGGTTTAAGTGACATCTTGTGGGTGTTGTCTTTACTTAGATTGAATTAGTTGAACCAAAAACTAAAAACATCATTTACTTAGCATAAGTCTTACTGGACAGAGAGCCTACAGCTTGCAAATGCAAGACAAAAATGAATCACAGATGTATAGAGAAAATGTGTTTCATTTATTAAAACTGTTCAAACTGTAGCTTCCAAGCCTTTGAAGTAAATAAACTTTAGTAATACACTTACTGTAACAAGAGATTTAAAAAGTGCAACAACTCCTTTTTGTTAGCATGACAACAATGAACATGTGAGGTTGCCAGTCAAACTACCAGGAGTAGACCTTCCCCAATAATTCAAGTCATTTAGAAGAACAATTAAACATTTAACTTAAAATGTACCCGTCTTAGCGGAGTAGTTTAAGGCCTGTAGGCCTATAAGTGGGGAAACTAGTCCAGCCATCAGCTGCAGACCAAGTTATCTACATTCTCTTCAGATTTCTGACCAAATCGCTCTTCCTGCCAATCGAACGGGGATGAACACAGAGAATCTGAATGGTACTTACCGGTATGTATCGATACTCGCAGCTTATAAATCTATGTTTTCTTGGAAAACAAAAAATATCGGTTTATATCGCAAAAGCAATAAAATTGCCCAGCCCAAGTTCAGAGTCTCTAAGGAATGTTCAAGTTTAAAGGTTATGATGTATTCATGCATTTAAGGTTGTCCTTTAAAATGGCAGATAAGTATAAATAACAACTTTAGCAGAGATATTAAATGCAATCAAAACATCGAAGCATCTTTTGCTTTTACAGTGAATAATGAACAATGACTCAGAAATGCATTAATATGTAGCAGATGTAGCAGTACTAGTTCAAAATGACTTAGTCACCAGGAAGCCAGGCTACGAGGCAGGGCTGAACCAGGACAAATGGTAGTAAAACCTGTTCTAAGACAGCCGCCACCACATATTGGCTTGGCCGAAGATGAGGTAGCTTTCAGCTATCAATGCTATCCAATCAAATATTAGCACATTAACTCTACAGACAGGCTCGGTGAGCATTAGCATTCAGCTCAGAACTCTCTTACTTAAAAACAATCAGCAGTTGAAATTAAAAAGCTTTGTAGTCTGAGCCAAAATGATCATACCACATTGCACAAGTTGGAAACCCTGGTAACACTATTTTCCACTAGTTCTAATTTCTTAGTCATATAATTATAATAAAATGCATCTCAATTTCTTGCTGTAAACAAACGATACTTAAAAATATTCAAGGTATTGTCAGTATTTTTGAGTGGAACTATATAATCACATAACTTGAATTACAGAAAGGCTCTGCCTGTCACCTCTTAGCATACATATAAACAAACACACACCTGTCTAAATGTTAATCATGCAGTTATTTTCCAAAGGGAGAACCTGACTCTCCATCCAGCCTCTCGCAGGCAGTCATTTCCTCTGGATATATTTTGTGAAGCCGCCTGGTGGATCGAAGGGCTTTGGGCTGCTGCCCCTGGCTGTTTGTTTCTGATGAGGGTATCGACCACAAAACTGATGAGTTGCTGCGAACAGATTAGTGCTCCTGTGTGACAGATGATCTGTGTGTTTGTAGGAAAGCAGCCAGTTGCTCATGCTTTCTTCTAATCTCCCGATCAATGATAGGACAGCTCTCTTTAGATTCTCAAACCTCCTCAGTCAGCAACAACATAAAAACCAACACCACCTTACATCTCTGTTGCGTATGATTGCTCTGAATCTGTAACATGAGACTGTGTGCTGATGGGTGCTTTCCTCCCATATGTGTAGTTCTTGGCTGACCTGGAGTCCAACCCCCTCCTCCGTGACAGCGTGGAGTGTCAGCGACTCCTGATGGAGGGGATGAAGTATCACCTCCTGCCACAGCGCCGGCCACTGCTTCAGAGTCCTCGCACCCGGCCCCGGAAGGCTACAGTTGGGGCCATGTTTGCCGTGGGCGGTATGGACGCCTCGAAAGGTAGAGCAGTCACTCATTTATACCCAGATGCACAACGTGCTGTGATGAATCTCTGCTTTGCTGCACTGAAGGAAACATTACGACCTACAAAACAAGCAACACTGGAGCAAATCAAAACCACCATAAAACAGAAAAAATAAAAATGATATATTAAAGAAGCTTGTAAATTAAACTGGGTAAGGACTTGATTCACTTAGGAAAAAAATGTGCTTTTCTTAGGTGGATGATTGTGCAGCTCACAAGTTGGAATAGAGATGAGTTAGAGTTGGTCTCCACTGACAGATCTGGGGAAAGAAATTTGCATATCATTAAGACTGACTTAAATAGCATAAGAATAATAGGCTTGAAATTATACATAAAGCTCAGATCTTTCCACACAACACCACTTATGTTGGCTTGGCACCGATCAAGCTGATTGGTTATACGGTCCTGGGTGATTTTTGATGTGTGTTTGGATTCACTATCAGTCTTAAACACCTAATTGTGTCAAGGTAACAATAGACATGTTTACATGCAAATGTGAAGCAAACTTTAAAGCTACAGTGTGTAATAATTACAGGGATATGCAGTCAGAAATGTAATATATTATACATAACTATGTTATTTATCATTATCTACGAGCTCAGCCTCTTAATATTTGCGTTGCCTTAGAAATCGTTATTTATAATTACATAGGAGCGGGTCTCGCAGCCATGGAGGCAGACATCTTTGCGCTACGGCAGCGCAGAGCCAACAAACTTGCGATTGCGAGATCGCCCATTACGCTCGAAAGTAACTACGGCAAGTTGAGAGAGATGAACTGAGACGGTACTGAAATCTATACCCTACACAGACTAATGAAATACTATCTGTAAAATTATCTATGTAAACTAACCTCATCACTTGAGAAGGTAGGTGATGCGGACGTCGTGGAAGACATATTGTCCCGTAACGCTCGCCGTACTGTTGGGGGAAGAAGCGGTGGGGGGGAGATGTTCATGTTGCTGCGGTCTGCAGTCTGGACGCTAGATGTCGCTGAAAATTACACACTGTAGCTTTAAAGGCACACTATGCAACATTTTTCAGTTAATTAATGTGTTCCATAACGTTTTGGATGATTAAATGAGTCATTTCAGGTTGAACAAAGGTATTCTCGGCCGCCCTGGTGGTCTGTGGGGGAAATACTGCACTTGCAATTGCAGGAGCACCGACCCGCACCCACAGGCTCAGAAGTCTCACGAGAGTCGGTCTTGCTTTACGGCGAGAACTGCTACACGCCCCCAGTTAAAAGCATGCTCGTTGCTAGCACAGTGGCGATCTTTGTGCAGTTATGCTACGTTCACATCGGACGCAGCAAAATCGCGTCTGCTGCTTCCTTTTTGCTGCTTGTACCAGTTAGTTCTGACGTGCGGCTGAAGCAGCTTTGCTGCTCTGGCTGCGCGGTGCAAAAGTGTGTCTGACGCGCGTTGGGCGGAGCTTCACTATCCTTTCTCTGCCTTGCAGCTATATTTGCTGTGATCAGTGGGAATAAAGTAGTTTTAATATGTGTTTAAGTGAGAAAATACACCTGAAAACGTAATCAGTGCAGTTAGTTCATTCAGATTATCATCCTGCCTTCAATATTATTTCTGTCGGAGCCGCTCAGACCCCCACATACCAGCGGTGCGCCGACAGTCGGAATCCCTTCATCAGCAGCCTCTGGCCGGGTTGCCTCCTCGCGGTTCACCTCGGCAGCTGGTAGGTGTTTTTCATCTAAATAATCCAAACTGCATATTCTGCCGGCAGATTTCTGCATTTTAAGTTAATTTAGGCGTCAATAAACTGTTTAAGAGGAGAGATCATAGCCTCTGATCATCAGCGCTGTGTCTCTCTCCCTGCGTCAGATGATTAAACGCGCCCGACGCGCTGCTTCAGTTGCTCAGACGCGCTGCGCCTGCTGCTCAAAACGCGCCGCGGGACCTTTTGCTGCGTCTTGACGCGCGTCAACCATTGACTTTGCATGTAAACTCGCTGCTTCTGTCGCACCAGCTGCGTCCAGTGTGTGCATTCGTTCCGTTCGCCTGTCTGCTAAGCTCAAAACAACCGCGCCTGGCTTGACGGAGAAACCAGGAGAACAGCTGTGCATATTTACGACAGTGCACTTTTACTTTCGCCCTCTGGGGGGAGCCTCGCTGGAAAATCAACACCGGTTGCATAGTGTACCTTTAAGTGAATTTTTAAATTGTACAAAAAAAGAAAATGTGAATTAGATGCACATCCATCTATTGAAGCGAGTTACCCAGATGACGCAAAGGTTAACCTCGTCATACGTTCAGGTTACGATTTTCCTTAATAAGCAAGAAAACTACCAACTCCACCCGTCCTTCCCTGCAGTTTTCAGATCTGCCTGTTTCCCACCTAAAAACAATTGGAAACCACACCAATAAAAAAAACACACCATAAATTCCTCCTGAACATTCAGTTTAAATCACAAACCCTTAAAACTCTTAATACAGAATGCAATGCCATGCTATTAACACAACATAAGCCTCTGACTGTGGTATCAGAGAAGCTAATAACGAATAGCTTTGGATCATCATCTGGGACAGAAGGAATCTACGATGTGAGATCCTCATCAGCCTCCAGTTCTTCTGAATAATTTTACATTTTCTCAGTACCTCAGCTAAGATTTGCAGCTGGAAGAGATAGACATGGAGACGACATTGGCAGGTTTCTTAATAACTGCTCAAATTCTGGCTAAAGTTGTCTCTCTCCCCTCCCGGGGGGCAGTCCGTAGGTATGGCTGTAGCCAACAGCTGCCGGTAGATTTTGACTGAACAATCCAGCATTTTCAGTGAGGGAACAAAATAAAACTCTCGTCCTCAAATTGTCTCAAGCACAGAAGATACGCCATGAGTGATCCAACTCCTCCTGATCTCATCTGACCTGCTTCACCCAATTTGAAAGCAGCTCAGGATCTTAAGAAAACTTAGATAAGCTGAAACCCAGCCGACCCAACTGGAAGGCATAGCTGTAACTTAATCCATGAAAACTTCAGCAGCAGTCCACAACAAAACCACTGTTCCTACCCTCATTTGTTCTTCATACATTGGTCCCGCTTTCTCTCTCAGTGACTGAGCTGTGCGACAGTCCCCTGAATGGCATTTTTTGATACATTTTATTTTATGTGGGCTTGCTTGATCATCGGTATTAATGTTTTGGTCTACAAAAAATTCTAGAAAAATAAAAGAAATTGCTATTCATAGTAAGATAAGAGCAGGTCTCGGCATTTATGGAGGCAGACATCTTTACGTGACAAACTAGTGACCATATCAGAATCAGAAATACTTTAATAATCCCAGAGGGAAATTACTTTTGTTACACGCTCCAGTTACAGTGTTATATAAGATATACACACATCCAACTATACAATAAAATAAAGATAAAAAAAAAATAAGAATAAAAAGAGATAAAATATATACACATAGAGACCATATATACACATACTGTAGTGACCATAGAGATCCTCTCCATCTTTCTTGCCTAATAACCCCCAGTGCCACAGTAAAGGCTTGGACTCTGTAAACAGGAAAGATATACAGTATGCTTCCAACCAACACAATCTCGCTATCAAACTATCAGACTACAATTACTTAGTCTGTTTATATCAGTATGCTAATCAGCTCACTAAAACATGACGACGATGTGGAACAAATAACAGGTATATTTGCTATCTTATCTGATAAAATTATGTCCTATACCCTTTATCAAATTATCTATGTTAAAAAAAACGTGTAATCACTTGTCAAGATGGTCTATTCGGACATTGCAGAAGCCATTTTGTATCATGACCTCTAGATCGTTCGAGAGGGAGAAGCAAAGGCAGAGTAGTTTATGATGCTGCAGGTCTTCACCACTAGATACCGCTGAAAATTAAACACTGTAGCTTGAATGAATGTGTTGCAATCAGGAATGCTGTACTTTATTATGTCAGCTAGTTTTAGTGATGGTACATGCCATCCAGAGACGTCCAGAGAGATGTGATTCCACTGGCAGCGAAAAGACCTGATCTGAGTTAAATATTTGTCACATCGGAATGAATTTGAAAAACATGTTTCCATTTCTTAAGGAAATGTACTTATTTTGAAAACATTAAGAAAAATGCCTTGTGACATTTAGCAAGTTGATTCAAATTTTGCTGCTTCACTCACACTTTAAATACGATATCTTATAATGCGCACTGCAGAACGCTGATGGTGTAGTTTTGACTCAAATTAGAACATTAATTCAATTTTGTAGTTTAGAGGGGTTGGTGATTTGATCCTGTGTGTTTCATTGAATATCCAAAAGGTTATTACTTATTACATGTGAATTTAGCTTCTTTATTTTTTTTATTTTTAGGAGCCACCAGTATCGAGCAGTACTGCCTGCGCCGGGACACGTGGAGACAGGTGGCCACCATGAGCGGAAGGAGACTGCAGTTTGGGGTTGCTGTCCTCGATGGCCGTCTGTACGTGGTCGGAGGCCGAGACGGACTCAAGACCCTTAACACAGTGGAGTGTTACAATCCACACAGCAAAACCTGGAGCGTCATGCCTCCCATGTCCACACATCGGCACGGCCTGGGTGAGGTCATGTTGGAGCTGATGAAAGGCTCTGTCATGGTCGCATTAGGGGTGTAAATAATAATCGTTTTGTATCGATGCATCAATCAGCCGATGTGATGCATCGATACGTCCACAAGAGTATCGATTCATTTTTTTTTTTTTTTTTCTGCGGTCTATTTTTATCCATTTGCTCCTGTGCGTAATTCTCCCTCCCGTGCTGCGGTGGCGCTAGACCCATTTTGCCCTTCTACTGCGCTTACTGGTTATACTCTTACAGCAGTGTGTTGCAGTAAGCTTGACACAGACATTTTAAAAAATGCTCAATATTGAAGCATGGTCTGCGCTATACACTGTGGGTCTAGATACGGCCGAGGCGGTGAGGAAGTGGGGGCGAGTTTAGTCCGACGACGGAGGGACATGAGGGCCAAAAAGAGCAGAGATCCAGGTGGAAAAAGGGTCCCAGCGTTCTCTCGCACCTCGCTCTTCTAGCGGGTCATACTTCACGAGTTATTGTCCGCAATTTCGATCATAAAAACAAAACAAGCCGGCACTGCGGCACTGTCTGTGCTCAGCTACAATTTGGGAGAGGTGCAGTGAAGCGTCTGTGGAGGGGGGCGGGGACGTCTGGAGCCGAGTGCAGTATTTACATAATATTTATATATTTTATAATCTTGAGTATCGAAAATAATCGAATCGTTGGGTCTGGAAATCGATACAGAATCGAATCGCCATGATGGATGTGATTTACACCCCTAGGTCGCATTGAGTTTCAGTTTTCCCTTTTCATTGCATCCTTTGTTCTGTTGATCAAGAGTTTTTCACTGTTGCAGCAACAAAAACAGACACCGTGTGCTCCTTTTATATATAAAGAAACATGTCCATGTGTTTCGAAGAAGGTTAAAATCCGGACACATCTGGCAGCACAGATGTTACAGCACATAAATCCCCTGCCGGACGTGTCAGCATGCTGCTACCCCTCTGTAGCTAATGGCCTAGATTCAGTTACTCCCCCCTCACAATATGAATTTACTGTCCATGTTGTGAAGGTATGAGTGTGGAGAGTTTGTTGGAGCTGTTTAGTCATGTAGAAGGGGCACTGTTTAATCTAACACCTGCTTGTTCCTGCAGGTGTAGCTGTCCTAGAGGGACCTATGTATGCAGTAGGAGGACATGACGGCTGGAGCTACCTCAGCACAGTGGAAAGGTCTGTTATTCTCACTACTAAAAGTTACTAGCTTACCTACTATGTTTTAATCAGCATTAACTGTTATGAAGCTTTTTTTGTAATGATCCTTATTGATTTTTTCCCCGCAAACTCTTCAAGGTGGGACCCTCAAGCTCGCCAGTGGAGTTTTGTTGCAAGCATGGCTACACCCAGAAGCACAGTGGGAGTAGCCGTTCTCAATGGAAAGTAAGCAAAAGCTTAGCTTGTGTTTGTAGTGTTTGTTTTTCCCTTGGCTGCATAAAAAAAAATCAATGTTAGTACAATACTGTAGTGCTGAGGAAACTATTTGTTAAATGAGCTGCTGATTAAGCCAGTGTTATATTTTTTATATAGTTACAGTACAGACTGCTTCACCTGCTGTTACTGTAATGATGATCAGATGAAGCACAGACACAGCAGCTCATGGTTTTGTTACAGATTTTAATCAGTTCTGTTAAAAAAAACAATGTAGGAGGATTTAAGAGGTTTGGGAATATATTTTCCTTATCTTCTTGTCCCAAACATCCGTTCTATGTTTATAATCCCATATGAATGATAGAAAACATTTAACAAATACCTCAACCAACATTTTAAACTGTCTTTAGCATCTTGTTTTAGTGCTTTGCTGTTAGCTTAGCGAGGCTGGTGTTGAGAAATCTTTCCAGTCAGTTATTTTCACTTTGAGATGTCTGCATGATGTCTTCTATGAGCCTAACAGGTCTAAAGATCAAGACAATCAAACAGAAAACCCTGGATATCTCTCACTCTCTTGCAGCACAAACAAACAAACACGTTTTTTTTATAGAATACCTTCCTTTATCTAAGTTGCTCCTCTGAATTGGATTTCAGTCGCTCCTCAGCAACAGTATCCTCTCTAACCAGTGTTTTTGTGAACTTGAACCCTGGATAAAAAGCTGATTTTTGCATTTTAAAACGCACAAGTGACCAGTCAGGATTGTTCTCAAGAATATTTAGCCATTTTCAGTCCCCAGGCATATTTTTGGTGCTAGCTTACCTTCTAATTTTGTATAAAATCAGAACAGAAATGTTGATGTTCCTTATTTTTTCCTGTGAAAAAATGGGTTTTTCTGTATATCTTAAAACTGCAGATACAGCTTTAGACTTAGATACATTTTTTGTCATTTTGTATACACGTGTAAAAAAAGAAATTTCGTTAAGAACAGCTCTCTATACAATTTAATTTTTTTTAAGTGTAGCCTTGGAAAAACAGTAAAAAATATAAATACAAATGCAGCTTTAGAGATGTAGAAGGATGTAAACTCACTATTACATTATAACAACCAGCTGATGTTACCTGAATGCCAACTGGTTGTTTGATAGGCATTGTAGAAAACAAATATATATCCTACCATTACAAATTTAAATGGTGCTTTGCCAGATGTTGCAGCTTTGGTCATAAAAGACCAATATGACAGTTTTAACTAAAATCACTCTAAAAGCCACATGACAGAAAACACCTCTGTTAAGTGTGTTGGAGGCTCTGTGATGCTGGGGGCCTGTTTCTTTTCCAAAGGCCAAGTGAACCTTGGAAGTATAATAAGAACAAAAATGGATCATCATCTGGTCTTTGAACAGAATAGGAATCAACAACTTTCTGTCAAATAAACACAGAAAAGCTTTGTCAGAAATAAATTCACTCTTCTTCCATGAACATCGCAGCTCTCGGGTCTAAATCCTCTAAAAAAACCTGCCTTTTTACACATCTTTACCAGCAATGCCAGCATGAAAAGGTTGTCATCATTTAAAAATGTTCAGGATTTGAAAAAGCTGTTTTATTTTAATATTTTTATTACAGCTATAAAAATGTTTCACTGTCATCCTGTAGGGATATTTTGGCATCCTTGTTTGCAGTTCAGGACCTTACCACTAACTCGGTCCCACACTGCAGCTTCACATATGTTGCTTGTTAGGAGTTCAAGCTGTGAGCCTTAAAAACACCAACTAATTAAGGAGGATCATCTGCTCTCAGTTTGGAACAACTTACCCCACACCTCTGCTTTCTGTGTAATTTTAGGGACATGGTTTAAGAAACAGCTGAGGGGACATGTTGGTGTTTATACCAAGGTACTAAAATCAGGGCCATTTGCTCCCCACAATAAGATAGATCCTTACTCTGGGCTGAATCACCGCTGTTGTTTCCATTTTCACTGCCTTTGAGTGAGGCTTTTCATTGTAGATGCTAATTAATACAGAGACAACAGATCTGTGCCAGCCATGCCCAGGAGTAGCCTGTGTGTGTGTTGTGATGTACTTCCTCTGGGCTCTTTGCCTGATGGAGCTCATTACTTGCTTGACCAGTTCTGTCGCACTTTCTTCTCCAAAGTGCCGGCATCGACATCAGCAGACGTTTGTACACATGCACACAGTCTCAAACACACACCGCCCTGATGACAGACGGCTTAGGGATGTGTTGCTCCAAGAGCTTTGGCTTTGTGTTGTTTTTTTTTTTTTTTCTTCTACCCAAAATCTTCACACCTTTTCCCATCTGCCTTCCTGTCAGAAGCTGAAAAGGAGGGCAAAGAGGTGAGAAATGTTTTGTGTGTGCACCAGAGAGACTCACTCTGGCCGCTGTTTTCCTCAGGCTGTACGCTGTAGGAGGTCGTGACGGCTCGTCCTGCCTGCGATCAGTGGAGTGCTTCGACCCCCACACTAACAGGTCAGGGAGACTTCCTCTGGCAGGAATGAACCCTTCCTTCATGCTTGATTTTCTGTTTCCATGTGAGAATCAGCTTTTCCTCTAAGGTCATTTAGCTGCAGATCAAAGATGGTGGGAATTCATTCATCACCTCATAACCCCTGTTACTAAACTACTGTTATTAATAATATATGGTAAAGAGTTTAGTGTTGATAGTTCGTTAAGAGAAAATGAGTTTTCTTTCTGTTTTCTGATGGGTCTTTCTTCTCTCATAGGTGGACTAGTTGTGCTCCAATGGCTAAAAGGCGTGGAGGAGTGGGGGTTGCCACCTGGCACGGTTTCCTATATGCCATTGGTGGTCATGACGCCCCGGCATCATCCCTTGCATCTCGATTAAGTGACTGCGTGGAAAGGTGAGGCTGCTTTATTCATGTTTTCTCTGTCTATAAAGGTGTGTCTCATAAAGTTAAGGAAAAACAAGACTAACTAGAGTGTATGTGGTGTGTGTTATACTGAGTTTTATCATGTACTTCATGGTGGATTTAATATTAAACTTAATGTGATGTCTATTATCTTATTTCAGCGATCTTATTGAATGATTCTTTTTTATCACTCAATAAAATGAGTCTTGCTTTCGTAGATATCTGTGTAGTGAGAAGCTCCGTTGAATAAAGAAACAAATGTTTTCACAGCACTGCTTTTACGTTTATTGTCACTCCTGATTAAGATGCGTGAAAAGTCCTAAAATAAATGGATCCTTCATTGCAGCAGCATAACATGTCGCAGCAGTTCTGTGTTTAGATGATAGATTCCAGTTTTCATTGCCCAGGGGATAGTGGGGTTCCTACGGAGAAACGTGGCCATTAAAACACCATCTTACTGGCATTGTGTCCTCCATCTTTTATGATTATCTCTTTGTAATGGTTTAAAAAGCTGCAGAATATGCCACGGTTAAAAAGTTTGTATTTCCCCAAATTCTTGCTTTCACCTTCCACTTGTATATTAGCGGTCTCCTATTCTTATAACAGTTAAGTTGAAAATAACTTTAACATCCTCTTTCACACGTACATAACCTACATAACATTTTTGTTCCCCTCTACACCTTGTTTTAGCGATGTCTAACTTTACTCCAGACCCTAATGATGTATTGAAAACACAGCCTGCTGCTTCTGCCTGTAAACTACTCTCCCTCTGAAGCCAAACCAGCATCAACACATATGAAAAATGTTTTTTTTTACAAAACACAAGTCAGATAATTATAAAAAAAAAAAAATACAAGCACAAGTTAAAACTTAATAGAAATTAATTTGTTTTGTTATTGTTGGGTTTTTTTTTTTCAGAAAAAAGAATAAAGCTGGTAAAATGTCATGATTTTGAATAGCTCAGCTCGTTTTGTTAAGATGTGTCTTTTAATATAAAGGTTTCAAGTTTACTCTGCTTTTTATAATTTCTTAATCACCTTTTCAGCTAGTTAGTTAAATAGATTCTATTTTTTAAGAGGATTAAATGCCAAAAGCTAATTAATACAGATCTTTAAGTTTATTTTACTGCTATCCTCATTTTATGATTTATTAGAGTAAAGAAATTTTTTTAAAGTGAGCCACAGTCTAAACCAGATCGAATCAGGACTAAATAATTGATGAAATAAAACTATGCTGCTGAAGAAAATATTGGACTTCATTGGTTTTTGGTGAGGTTCACCTGTGGGGGGGTTGAAAATGCAGGTAGTTTGCTGATGAATTATGGGATGCTTTAAAACCTCTGCCGGTTCTTTTTTTACAGTTTGATCTTACAATTTCTAGATGCTTGTTGGTCTGACATGATCATTAACATTTGATTCATACCTGTAATTTTTTTTTTATATATAGAAATATCCAAGTAATTGCATACAATCACTAACGGTGTAGTATTCCCTCTTTTACAAAAAGCAATAGTGAATTGTTCACAGCAATGAGTAATTTTGCAGCCTTGTAGAAATCATGTCGCAAAGATCCTTGCAAAAGTTCATCAAAGAGCAGAACTCCCTTCCTCAGAAAGAAAACCACCTGCATAGGAGAGTCCTACCAGCAGAAAACTAAGCTAGGTAGGTTGTTAGGATGTGCAGCAGGGCAAGTACTTTGCGGCCTATTCAGCCTTGGGGTGACGATATGCTGTGAACTGGCGCTATATAAATAAACTGAATTAAATTCAAAATACAGTCAGGTCTCTGACAGACCCAATACTTTTTGTAATTATTTTACAAAATACGCAACCATTACAAAAAAGCTTACTGATTGAGAGGTTGTACTCCATATTATAGTTCTGTTGTTAGCTGTGTAACATGTTTAGTTTTTTTAATCTAGAGCTGGTTTGAGTCATAATCAGTTGACTCAAATGCAGTGGCAGCTGGTGGAGTTTTGTCCATGGGGGGGCTATAAACTCAAAATAGACATATACCAAAAAACCAATCACGTATACTAAGTTAGCACACCAGTATATTTATTTGAATGTCAACAAAAAGAAACATTATGAAAACACTTTGTAAAAACAAAACCTAATTTCATATACAGGTTTACTTTTTGTACATTAATCTTGCCCTTCCGAGGCTTTATGAAGACAAATTTGTGTTTTGCATGGTCCGATATTGTGTCATGTGTGCATTGTGTAATGTACCAGTTTAATAATGGAGAAGCTATTAGACAGCGTTATATCTTTCAATATGTAAAAAGCATTTTCTGAGAATGTGTTTATTTAAGAGCAACTATGCAAATTACCAAACATCTAGAAAAAGTATACTATATTATATTATTTTCCATGTGAATCCCAGATTGTTAATTCTTCTTTGCCCTTTCTAAAAAGTGTTTTAAATCAGTCATGCCTGTCTTTATCCGTGCTGGGTCAGATCCTGACATTTGAAAAAGGAGGCCGGAAAAGCAGAATACAGCGTTAGCCTCGCTGCATGCAGTTAGCCAAGCCTTGTAGCTAAACCAGATCCTGGAAAAAGAGAAAGAGTCTCACTCTTTCTTTGGACTCCTGATTAATTTTGATGTTCGGCTGATAAGGTCCAAACGGTTTCACCTCCAGCTTCCCTTGGGAAGTTTGCTTCCCTCCCGCGACTTGGCCTGTCAATAACCCGCACAACTGTGACAACAGTTCCTGCCACCACAGGGCAAACCAGAACTGCGCCCTGATTTCTCGTATACTTCTTTATTGCAAAGGAGCTACTGCACATGTATTTTTATGTCTTAATCAAGGCCATTGGGCTCTATAAAGGGCCCTAGTGCCCTCTATTTGCCAGCCACCACTGCTCAACCTAAATATAATTTTCTACTAACATAATGGATATTAAGTATAAGTTATGTAGTCTCACCTCTTTACATTTGTATTTTTTGTATGAATTGTACGTTGAATAACTGCCTGTAACCATCAGTTTTATCCTTCTTTAACGTCCATCCATTTTCCATCATGCTTATTCCAAACGGGGTTGCGAGGGGTGCTGGTGCCTATCTCCAGCTGTTTGCGGGCGAGAGGCAGGGTACACCCTGGACAGGTCACCGGTCCATCGCAGGGCAACACAGAGACAAACAAGGACAAAATACCATTCACATACACACTCACACCTAAGCAGAATTTAGAGAAGCCAATTAACCTAACAGTCATGTTTTTGGACTGTGGGAGGAAGCCGGGGTACCCGGAGAGAACCCACGCATGCTCAGGGAGAACGTGCAAACTCCATGCAGAGAGACCCTGGGCTGGAAATCGAACCCGGAAACCTTCTTGCTGCAAGGCAGCAGTGCTACCCACTGCGTCACAGAGCAGCACCCTTCTATAACACATTCTTTATCATTATTGCTTAACATTAGGTAGGATCAGAAAATACTGCACAAAATCAGTGCAATCAGTGGAATGCTGGGACCCTTTCTCCACCTGGATCTCCGCATGCACACACACAACCGCGTAAACAGTAGGCAAGACAGACATGGCGGAGGAAAAAGAAGATGATGTATTCTTGAGTATCGAAAAATAATCGAATTGTTGGGTCAGGAAATCGATACTGAATCAAATCGCCATGATGGATGTGATTTACACCCCTACCCATGACCAGTAGTCGAGAAGGCGGAAAAATAGGAGAATAAAGGCCTTAGCTCTATGATGATATAAAGAGGTCATAAAGCGATACGTTCTTCCTGGTCGCATGACCTGGCCCATGACCTTTCCGTTATCTCCCAACTTACATGGTCGGTATTTCAAGAGAGGAGCCCCGCTTCTAGCATTGATAGTGTCAAGTATATTGGCCTGAGGAATCATTTAAAATAACTGATGTGTCAAATCATTAGGTCTCAAAGTCCACATGTGCCTTTAAGGCAGCTACTTTTCCAGCATTCTGGTCCTGATCCCAGTTTGGGTTAATTGCTATATCGCCCTCCATGGCCAAACCAAAATACCTCAGTGATGTCTACTTGGTAATCAGTAGTTATCTTTTCTCACTTAATGACACATTTCAAACAGAAGATCATAAACAAACTGTAGAAAATGTAATCATCGGCTGTCAAAGTAGATATGAAATCCACAGTGAGTCTAAAGTGGCACATGGTCAGCACACAACATCCTGTGCCAGACAGCTTCATTTTTACCTGAAAGGTTTGGTATTAAACAACCACAGCTGCTGACATATTAAATGGTGAATCTTAGATCATTACTTTCCTTCCCCTTTCCTTCGAGTAATGTTCACTTGTTTACAGATACGATCCTCAGACGGATGTTTGGACCACGGTGGCCCCCATGAGCATCAGCAGGGATGCCGTTGGTGTTTGTCTCCTCGGGGACCGTCTCTATGCTGTGGGCGGCTATGACGGACAGGTGTACCTAAATACTGTTGAAGCCTACGACCCTCAGACCAATGAGTGGACCCAGGTACTGCACACAGACAGCAACCGTTTTAGATGGAAGAAGGAATATCTGCTGATTTTTCTAGAAATGTATGTAACAGAAGGACAGACAAATACCATCCATGCCTCATTCAATGTGGGAAAGCAAGCAGAGGATTTGTCTTTCCTCTAGATTCAGTCATATCTCAAAAGTCTTGTATATGGGGAAGGTTTTTTTAAATATTTCTGTATTTTATTAGAGGGCAGCTGCCATGATAGGGCTGACAATAATGTTTTAATGTTGAGATCCATATCAACATGCTGATGGCATGATGCAGTTTTTTTCTGACATGCTAAAAAGAGACCCAGAGTACGTTTTTCCCTGCTTTGCAGATGTTTTAATTCATTTATGATCTTCTCAAATCGGTATGTTACAGCCATAAATGTGATATGATTTCATTTGATTTATTTACACAAAGTGTCAATTAGACACAAAGGGCCTGATCTATAGAATATTTTACGTGTCTCTAAAAAGGTGCAAACGTGTTTGTATGCGCAGAGCAGACCTCCAAAGGTGCAATACAGCAGACAGCTTATGCAAACCAGTTTTGTTTCTGTTTGTTTGCCTTCATCGATATGCAGATCATATTCTAATGAACAAAGTTGGCAAATTCATGGTTGGTGGATACAGTATGTTTATATAAACATTTATCAAACAGCAATTGTCTAGATTTGAAACTCATTTCTGGCAGTTTTTCCATCTTTTTATGTACTTCCGAAAGCTAGGCTCAAACTAACACCCAAAAATACCTGCAACGATATCTACGAAGGAGCCATTGGTAAAATGACAGAGGAAAGAGACAGATTCTCTGCACATGCAAACATATCTGGATCTTCAGAAATATAGTAGAATAATATTAATAAAGAAAAAAAGTCCTTTGACATGGGCACAGATTAATGTAGCGGGACAGCAGGCAATCTTTACACAATAAATCGAAATGAAGAAAATGACTGAATTTTAATATTTTAGCATGTTTATATAGAAAAATTTTACATGAAAAGAGCCTGCAAAGAGGCGGGGGAGCGTGCATCTCTTACTTCTCACAACACGTTTTTTTATCTCCCTCGTTTCAACTAAGCATGAAGCATTTTGATTTTTTATGTTTGCTCCCAGTTTCTCATGTCTCATGATATTTAACTTTTCTTAGACAGTTTAGAAGAGATAGGTTACCTATGTAGTACTCTATAAATATTTAGTTTTATTATAAGTCTTTTAAATTATATTTTATTGTTATAACCTCCAACCACATGCCTTTGAACCTCATCTTACTTTATTGACCGCTGTCAACTGTAGAACAAGCGATCTGCTTGTTGTAATGGGCAGAACCTAAACCGCTTTGCACTGCTTAACATTTGTGCATCTGTGTACATCACCAGCACCAAGCCCACTTATTGCACGTACCAATAATGCAATTTAGAGCACCTTATTTGGAATGTAAAGATCAGGCTCTAAATGGTAAAGTGGGAGAAAAAACGGAGCACAGTTTTCAAATAACAGTCAAATCAAAAGGACATCCTGTGAAACCAGTTTCCTGCAGAAGTCACCTAATCAGTAAATAAGGTTAACTGGTGTGACACTAAGATAAGGATAAATGCAGCTGATCAGCCTCTGGCCTCAGAGGTTTGGAAGGAACATTAATGAACAAACACCATCATGAAGACCAAGGAAATGTAGAAAATTTGGTAGAAGTAGGATGATGATCTGAGTTTTCTATCAGAGTAACACAACTGGTGTTTCTACCCTCTACACCTTTGTAGAGGGTAGAAACACCAGTTATTAACGATTGGCATATACTTAATTAATGTTTGATAATAATTTATAAACTGCATCTTAACCATTTCTAAAAGTTACAAAGATCATTTTGCCCTGCCATGTTAGTTCATCCCTAAAATTTGTGGACTTAAGACCAGTACCTAACCTTTATTTTTAATTTATCTTGCCCATCTCATGTTGGACTTGCCCTTACTCTAACCACAGTGAGCTTAATACCTTAATAAAGGATCAATTTAACTTTTATAAATGGTTAAGATGCAGTTTATTAATGATTCAAATATTAATAAACAACCTTAATCATCTATGCATGCAATATCTGCCATAAAACCATAGTAAGCTTCAAATTTCAAAATTACTGTTAAAGACTGAGATCTCTCTAAATGTGTGTTATGAAAAGCAATAATTGTTGCAAGAAAATGTATTAAGAATCCTGTTTAAAGCAGGTTTAGGTTACAAAACATCTCAACTATCACAGAGAGCTCTGTGTGATGCATTTTGTTCAAATGGAGAGATTTCACAATGGCAGGTAAGGATGGCGTTTATCAGAGAAACAAGCAAGTAGACCTTGATAACTCTGGACGATCTAGAGGTATCCACAGCTCTAGAGAGAGAAACTAGGGAAGAAGAAAGTCATTGTTAAAAGAATAATATTAAAAACTCTTGTTTTTAAGACTTACAAGAGCAACAACAACCATGTAGTAGAAGCCGCTCGATCAGATAAGATCAAACTTGAAGCTCTTGTTTTATATCCCAATTGCTTTATGTGGCAGAAAATTAAGACGGCTGACAGATCACAGATGCTTGAGCTATTTTTAAAATGAGGAGCAAAATTTGATTTGTCCATGCAAGTCATTGTAAACAGTCTTCTTTTCATTTCACCTTATAATTAGACAGTAGTTATTTGGATAAAAAAAAACAGTAACAAACACTGAGATTTGTGGTTAAAACATAAAAAAAAAAAGATTGAAAGGAAATCTATTTTAAGCCCCAAACATGTTTTTATTTTTCCATCCAGTAAATCATCATCACCATCAGTAAAGATGTATAAAAACACATTTGACCTTCATCAGTCTTCTCTACAATGCATTTTGGCCGGTTTTTATTCTCACATAAAAGTTGGTTCTCCCTAAGCTAACCTTGTGATTGGTTCTGCAGCAGAAGGAGGCAGAGGGGAGGGCCTGCCATTAAAAAGGAATGATCTCATTCAGCAGCTCTAAGGAGTCTATATTACACTCCCATTTATACCCCATATCCTGCAAATCCTCTAAGGATTCCCAGCAGAAAGTTTCAGGAAACCTGACATTTTCAAGACACGAACCACGCTGAGAACATGAGAGGTGTGGGTGGGCGGACACAAAACAGAAGCGTTCAAGCTCACAGTGAGAATGGGGGATAATGTGAGATTTGAGTGAACATGTTGAGAACAGTGTTGTCAGAAACGGAGATGACGAGCAAACCGTCTATTAGCATCACTTCTGATCATTTCAGCACAAATCTGTCAATCGGAGTCGCTGCAGGTAGCACAGACAGTGGGTTTATGTTTAAGTGGATGAATAAGCACAGTGTGGGATAGGTGGATATAGGGAATAAAACAGAAGACAGAGCTGGAGACACTGAGGGTTCCTGGGTTGTACTTAAATGTCATTGTGAGTTGGCTCGAACTGTGAGCTCTAACACAAACATGGGGCAAGACTGCTGGAAGTTGGGGCAGTTGACTTATCTTTCCAGCGTTTTATGGTTAATATTAATCAAATCTTAGATTTCTCTTACATTTATTGTCTCAGAAAGGGAATCTAACCTTGAAATGTAAACAGATGGATGTTCTTTCAATATGTGATAAATATGCTGCCTTCACTGCAAAAATATATCTAAAAGTGAATACATATTCCAAGAAATAGGTTTATTTTGCCCTTCATTTGAGGGGAAATTATCTGGCAACTTTTTAAGCATTTTGGCCCCTAAAATAAGGTACTTAAATATTCTGCACTGACCTCCTGTCTGGAGCATGTGAGAGGAACGAATCACCAAAGGAAACCAAAACAAAAACACATTTAAAACAAGTGCTTCTATATATCTATCTATCTATATATCGTCCTGTTTAATTAGTAAATATTCAAATGTAAATATTTGACTCAAATAATTGTAAGATTTCTTTATGTACAAATAACTGGTTATAATAAAATGTGGCTGTTTAATTTGTTTCGGGTTTTTTGTCTTTAAATGACATCCAAATTTGGTCATCAGTTTGTAATTATCATTATCTAGCACATGAGGAAATAACTAACGAGTATAATGGTCAATTTTAGTATGCTTTATATTTTAATCCTTTTAAAATTGTTTAAAATCACATTTCTTCTCCCTGGCTTTTAATCATGTCTAAGTGGACATTTGGCAAAATTTTATTTTAAATTTTATTTTATTCTAAAATGTATTTTAATTGAAACATTTATCTTATTTTATTTTTATGTGTTTATGTATTTTAGCCTTCACCTTTTATCTTATGTTCCTTAACTGTGATTCCTGTACAGCACTTTGGTCAACCCCGGTTTTTTTAAATGTGCTTTATAAATAAAGTTTGAGTTGAGTTGTTTTTTTTTTTTTTTTCATCTTTTTAATGCCTGTCTTTGTTGATGTTTTCCTCCAGGTTGCCCCTCTGTGCCTGGGCAGGGCAGGGGCCTGTGTGGTGGCCGTCAGACTGTGACATGTAGGAGGACTGTCTGCCTATGACCTGAGATTGAACCGTACCTGCTGCTGCTGAGGAGACATCGAGTGAAGCAGCTGTCTTCATTAAGGAAAGAAAGGATGGTTTCTGGGCCCTCTCTAGGGGTCCGTTTTACAAAGCAGCATAACAGAAAATTCTAAGTTTTCTAAAATAAGGGAAACTCTGAGTTTTCCGTTTCACAAAGAGTTTAGTCAACCTCTGTTTCCTCTGTCTCCGCTCTCCTTACAGCCAATCACGTTGTTTTATTTCCTGATTTAGTCAGGAGATTTTTGGTCATAGGTTTGTGCATAAAAATATAAATAAATAATTCCCTAGGTCAGTTACACAGATTAGCTTTATAAAACAAACATTGCACGTCCGTTTGACAAGGATCTTATTAAAGACTGATCTGCATTTTTTTCCAGAGAACTAAATACTTATAGAGGATTCTACAACTCAGGTGGCAGGATATGAAATTTATGTTATGGTTTGTTTAATATGAGCGACATGTAGATTATCTTATTTTTATTTATTTATTTTTACAGTACACGAAGAACTATTCAAATTGTTTTCAGATTATGCATAAAAAAATTAATTAATCTCACTGGGGGAAAAGGAATTACCTTAGGATTCATTTTGTGTTAGGTTGCCTTAACAACCTAATGAGTCCACTGGCACAATCTGATGCCATTCTGTGGGATTGATAACCGCTATTAACAACCATTTATTGGTATGATAACATCCAAAGCGGCCAAACAGCCACCTAGTATTTACTGTGTAAAAGAAGACAGAGCCTGTTCATCGTCTCATGGGTTCTCCATGGTTTGATTCTATCTATTAGAACGTTTTTTATCCTTGATCTTCACCTGCTGCCAGATGATTTCACCTAATTAGACACATTGATCTACTGCTATTCAAGAAATAAACCCTTAATGTTATCGTGATCACAATACGCTATTGCAAGCAGTTTTGATATGTATTAATTTTACTGAACATGAATTCCTGAAATTTAAAAAAAACAAAAAACAAACATTTCCTTGTCAAAAGGACCATTTCAAACAAAATGACTTTCTTCATATCTGGAACAAACATTCTGGATGTTTAGATATCAATTTCAGGTCTATATTCCTATTGTTACGGGTCAGCATTTGTATCATTTTGAGTTTGAAGAAATGTATTTTAAATATCATAAGTACATATTCAATCAAGCTGGTATATTGGAGCAGCTAAATCCCTACGACGATCTTTCCTTTGACTTATAAAAAGGTCATTTATTATCATAACAATGTCCATCGTTTTACTAATTGCGTTTACATAAATATATAAATCTGACATAATCTAAACCAAACACAGTAGAAAACTGTTGCCTCCTCATTAAAAACACCTGAACAGAATCATGGTTAACCTAACATAACCCCATCAAACAATCAGACCTCAAAATGAAATACGACCCCTGGTGGCGATAAACAGAAAAGGACAAATGGCTCCTACAGTTTATAAAACTTAATTCTTACTGGTATAATATTTTTTTTTTGCTTTCTGAAATTTCATTTCTGCCCCAAAAATGTAATTAAAAAAATATATTATTACAGTTTAGTCTAGGAGTTTTGATTTTGTTCAGGAAGTACTTATTTTAGTGGTCTCCAACTGGAATAACAGAGAGGAGAGTGCTTTGTATAAATGTAAAAACGGCCTGCCATAGCCCACTTCATACAAACCTACACATTAATTTGAGCAACAACCTTCTCCTTCACAATCCTCCTCTCCTGTGTAGCAGTAGCGCTGTTCTCTTTCTTCTAAACAGTCCAGTCGGATGGAATAGGCACATCTGGTTGCCTGTCGTCATGGTGACTCGTCAATTCAGGGATCCACTGATAATGGCTTTTCATACTTGTTACACATGTGCTCAACTCTAAGCGTCTCTACTTGGAGTTTATTGAGCTAATTCGTAGCAGCCGTTGTAAAACTGAAAACTCAGAGTTCCCACCTTTAGGCTAAATCGATTTAGAGTTGACAGTTTGTTAAACCTGCTTCGTAAAACGGACCCCAGGTTTTACTCAGACAGAATCACTTCAGTGCTGTCAGCCTCTAGAGATAGGTCTGGTTAGAGTCAAATATTCATATCCTGATCATTTTTTCTTAGTGATCCAGTGTCTTATGGGTTCATTTCCCTCCCTACACTCTCACTTGTGTAGTATGAAGAGACAAACCTGCTAACTACGTTCGTTTCTGCTTACAAATAGGTGAGACAGAGGGAGAGAGACAACTCCCAGCTATCCCTACAAAATCCTAGTGTATGCCTTGATGCTATTTTCAATAAGCAACATGTTCTTTTTATGCTGCGGTTGGCAAATGCACTGTTGCTCCGGTTTGCCTGCTGACAGATAGAAGCGAGAGTTTCTGACATAATCAGCACAACCTCATAAGCAGATATTGAACCGCTTCACTGTTTTCATTTAAAATCTGTTTCTTTTTATCTGACGTTTCAGTGTCTGACATATTGCATCAGTTTTGATTTTTATTACCCAGTCCCTACCATTTATCTCTTTCACCTGCTTTGGGGTTTTTTTATCCTATATATCGGTGTTAATGGGTTAATCTCTGAGTTGTGGTAATAGCACAGTGGCCCTGCATCGATCCCTGCAAGGTAAATTAGTGTTCACCTTACCTCACAGGAAAAGCCCGTCTATTTAAAGGCTTGGCTTTAAAACAAGGTCTGTTCAGCTGTTCAGTTTTTAAGCCGAGATATTTTTTTCATTTTGTCATTTTTGGTCTGTGTGTGTCTGCTGGTGTTGCATCTGCAGTTTGCAGGGAGTGTATTATTTTATCTTAAATGAGAATCTCCTCCGCTTTCCTCCCCTTTCACTCCACATCCTCAATTCCCTGCAGTTTGCTGCTGCACAGACACACACGGCTGCTTTCACCATCTTGTTTTGTAGCAGACCCAGATACCCTGGCAGAGGCTAACAGCAAAACCTTGTAATGAGGCCGGAAATCTAATGATGCAGACTTGTTTTTGTTTCGTGTCATGTTCAAAGAATTATTAGCTGCAGTGCAGCTCCAGACGAAGCATCACATATCACAAAAGGCTCGCCGAGACTACTTCATGGCATGCTTGTTGTTGGGTTTTTGTTTTGTTTCATGTCTTATAAAAAGGCGGGGGTTCGACAGTGAGAGTAGGAGCAGACATCCTGTCTGAACTCACAGATTTGGAACTAATGTACCATAGAAAATACGCTTCACATTCACACATCTCACAGTGCGAACAAACACAAGCTTGCAGCTGCTAGCAGAGCGCCCCCCACCCCCCGGTGGAGACTGGAAGGCCACCCAGATTCACCAACATGACACCTAAAAAGGCTCCAATGAAGTTGGACCCATTGTTGCATCATTCTGCGCTTCTCTCCCTCCTTCAAACCTGCCTGCTGCTTATTCAGAGAAACTCTCTTTACCTCCTGGCAGAAGAAGTGTGTTCACTAAAGCAGAGGTTTTAGACACGAAAACACATACATTCCAAATCTAATTGTGAATATGAATGTAAACTGTGTAAATAAATGACTGTGTCCATTGTATTATTGCATTATGTTGCCTTGCAAAAGTATTTCTAACCCTTAAGCTTTATTTAGCCAAGGAATTTCCTGGAGGTTTTTTATGCAAAATACTACTGTGGAGTAATGGGGATAAATGTTGTCAATACTTTGTAGAAGCGGGGGATGGTGTTCAGGTTGATATGTTAAATAGTGTTTTAAAGGCAGGTAAAGATGTTTGTCTAAGTCTAACCAGAGCACCTTCTCCCACCCTGTTTGCAGTTTTCCTTCCTTGCCTCATAGTGCGCTGCAAACCGAACCTCATATGGCTTTACTTCTACCTTCACAGAGGGCAGGTGCGAGCTTTGACATGGGTCTCCAGGCTGCTTCTCTTTAAGCAGCCTAGGTGGACAGCCAGATGCCTTTGCAGCTGTGCACAACTTCATCCTTTCCTTTTAATGAACTGAACTCTCAGCTGAGATGTTAAAAACATTTTATAACCTAACCCTGCTTTAAACATCGCTGCAGCTTCCTCAGCTGATGCTGTGTTCCTTGGTCTTCGTTTATATACACACTTCCAACAAACTCCTGATGCCTTCACAGGAAGCTTTGATTATAAATACACTTTTAGTTGGCGATTAGTGACTTTTAAAGGCAGCTAGTCACACTGAACTTTATTTAGAGGGGAGCAGAGTAAAAGTAAAGAATATATATGTGAACTGCTCTCTTTCAAGCATCTATTCCTTTCTTTCTACCTGACAGTTATGCACTATTCTGGTCTATTTTATCAAGTCCCAATAATTAATAGCAAGTTGTAACATGACAAACGTTTAAGGTGTGTAAATACTTTTGCAAGAAACTGTAAATCAGGCTTAATGTACCATGTGTTGTGTTCCTTATGCAGTGAAAATCCGAATGAATGTCTAAAAGTGTTGGTTTGCAGCTGCTCATCTCTGGTGCCGCACCTCGCCGTAAATGTAAAGGAAATGCTCAGTTTTTGTTTTTTTTATACAATAAAGTCAACCTGTGATTGAAAACGTGTTTGTCAGTTTATTCCTCACTGCGCCGCTCTTGTTCATGGCGCAGATGTTTCTGCAGGCAGTCTGCATTTGTCACAATCACAATAAACGTCGTTGAGTTGTAAAATTAGTTTGTTTATACGTGGCTTGAAGCTTGTTGCCGTGGGTTGGGCTCCACTGATGGCCTCTGCTCTTCGCCGCTTCCAGCTGCTGTCGTGTGGATTTACATTACTTTCCGTTGCTTGCTGGTTAATAGATTCTTTGTTTCTCCTAAAAGTGTCTCACCGAAGTTAAAAGCTTCAGACAAAACAACAGCAGGTTGAAGTGTTTCCTGACTAAAACAAGTACGAGTGGAAGAGGAATGCTCACAATTTATTAGTACTTTAACCTCCAGCACAGCGACAGGCAGCCAGCTGAGTGGCTCTGTTATTTATAGCAGGGGAAGCTTTAAATCATCAGTGGCTCTGACAAGGGTCCCCCAACCGGCGCTGAGAAATGATGCCACTGACCTTGTCTCACGGCCTTAAAAGCACCTGATTCTATTACACCTGACAGAAAAATGAGGGAGACAGAAAAGTTCTGAACTTTGAGGAGCCACAGGATGTACATCCCAGCTGACTTCAGATATTCAGCTACACATTTTACCACAAGTGTGCTCATGTCTTTTAGGACTGAAACAATCAGATTAATGTATTATTGAAATATTCGTCAACAAATTTAGTAATCAATTAATCGTTAACTGGAGAACAACCCACTAAGAGCAGTAATTATACCAGGATTGTAAAAAAAATATATATAAACATTTTGCATTTAAGATAAAAAAAAAAAAAGTTTTTGTCTGTCAGTATGCTCTATTCAGATCTCCTCAAGTGGAATATTCCAATTTCGTAAAAGTCTTTTTTTAAGAACCTTTGGCTATTCGATTATTAATCCATTAACTGAAAAAAATTATCAACAGATTAATTGATTTGCAGAATAAGCTACATTGCAGCCCTATTCTGTTTCGACATGCTGCTTGATTCAGTTAGGAAGCCTTTTTCTGTTGGGAACCTACAAGGACAAAAACCTAATAACCATAATGATATGTGCTCTTAGTTAATTTTTGAGGAAAATCCCAAGTTACTTTTTTAAATGTTTTTTTTTATTCAAATTCAAAGCTGCCACTTTTAACTGCCATAGCAGCTGTTATTGAGCTGCCTGATAGAGAGAAACCTTTAACGCCCCTAAAAGGACACTGAAGATGGGAGTTAGGCTGTAAAATTATAATAATTGCCTTTCCATAGAGAGAAACATCAATCGCCCTGAAATACACAGGAATTTAATTTGCAAAAAGGAGTTCAGCAAGTTAAGGCAAGTTTATCCATATAGCACATTTCAGTTCAAAGAAAAAAAGAAAACATTGCAGTGGCATAGAGGCAACACCAATAGAAAATAAGTGACACACTTAAATGAGAGGACTGTTAAAAAGGATTGAGAAAATGGAAAGAAAGAGTGGAAAATAATTTAGATAGTGAAGTCATTATAAACAAATACAATTTTAATCTTTATTTAAATCAATGATGGTTTCAGGAAATTTACCATTTTCTGGGAGTTTATTCCAGATTTGTGGAGCATAAGAACTAAATGCTGCTTCTCCATGTTTGGTTCTGGGCATGAAGTGTAGAGTGAGAATACCTGAAAGGACTGGGCGGTTCAAA